ATACAATGCTCGGTGTCCTTTTGAAAAATTATGAATAAATATTTAGATTGATTAAATTGGGTTTTTTAGATATAGTTTATACTTTGCTATGATAGTTAAAAGTTTGAATAAATGTAGTTCTTTTTATTGCTGAAACTGAACAGTACCTTATTCCAGCACAAAGATTAGTCTTTCCAAAAAGCCTTCCTTAAACTTTAACAGGATAATATATGTGTTTTATTTTGAACGAAAGATTGTGCACATTATTTACATTATCTGTTGGCTTCATAATGAAAGTTACATAATAACTCAGTATGAAAAACGGCTCAGTGGTTTTTAAGGTTGTGTACCGTATTTGGCCACAAGATGTCCCTGTAAGACAGGAGAGATGCACATTTGAAGTTATCACAGTTAAACAGAGATACTTTCAAGGAACTGGCAAACTGTGTGTGAAAACATTTGTGGTAATCCAGCTAAAAATAATTAAATTTATCTTTTTTTCCTACAAAGTATTATGCCCCTGTACCAGTCTGTGACTACTTTATGTGCACCAGGACATGCATTAATGCTGCTCTAGTGAGAGTCACTCAGTGTTTAAGCCATATATTTTCTTGTATTTGTGGATTTGTCAAACTCTCCTGAATCCCTGTCAGAAATACAAACCCAGGTGCCCTTGGGTCAGTGCATCAGCTGCACATGTGGATGGGCACTAAAATAAATCCTTAAAGGGAATCTGGTATATTCATTTTAACTACCACATTTTTCTGTATAAATCAACTCTTCTGGAGTTGCTGATTTTCATACATACATACACACACATTGCATACATTAAAAAGCCAAGGCATGCACTATAGCTGAACTTTACATCATGTATCTATATTGTTATCTTTCCCTGTTATGTATATTTACTCATTGTGTGTCTGCCTGTGTTTTAAGCTGAAAGCTAACACACATCATTTTGTTATGTGACTACAAAATGATCATAAAGAATCTTCAACTCCTCTTATTTATCTCATGCTGATATTTGTCGCAGAGTCAGAACGGAGCTGAAAGTGTCAGACCTGGATATGACTGAGTTTAAGACCATTTTAAAGGAATTAGAGAATAACTCTTTTAGTCAGTGTGACTGCTTTTAATGTTTTGCATATTTGAATATCAGTCATATTTCTTCCTTTACTTGTTATATTATTTTGTGCCTAAACAGGTCTCTCCTTAGAAGGAGATTTTAATCTCAATGAGACTTTTACCTGGATGAATAAATTATATACAATACCTTTTATTTATAAAAGTATATTCTATCTCTCCAATGTGCTGTAATCACACAGCTCCTTAGAAAAGTAACTTGGATCCATCTGGGAGGGATCAGACTAGAGATGCTACTGCTCCGCATGGAAAGGAGGTTTGCGAGCATGTCTCACCGGGAGGAGGCTGGAGGCAGACCCCGAACGCACCAGAGAGATTATATCACTACAGTTTAAATTACTGTAATGCTTTATTTGCTGGATTATCCAAACGATCAGGATGACTTCAGCTTATTCAGAGTCCTTTCATCTGAAATCTGAACATATCATCACAGTACTGAAGTCAAAACAGGATCACTTCTAAATCCTTCTACAAAGGTTTGAGTCCTAGGAACATTTCTCAGTGTCTATAATGCTAATAGACCTCTAACTGTGTGTGTGTGTGTGTGTGTGTGTGTGTTTTAACTTGTATTTTATTTCTCTTGCAAACTTGACTTTGTTAGGTTTTAGTACTTTACGACAATAATAATTAAATGTACTATATGAAAAAAATGACATTAACATTGAGATGTGGATTGGGCTTCTGTGCTCACAGTTGGCTGTCAACCAGATCACAATATTTTATCTTTGTCCATGTTAATAGAACCATCCAGCACTGTGAAAGCATATATAACAGAACCTAAGGACAAGCATTTAACACCTTCACACTGAGGAGCAGTGACCTCTTGGCTGAATCTGAAGCTTTCTAATCTGCTGGCTGGGCTTTGACATCCTGCAGAAAGAGGCTTGTACATATGCACGTATATGTATACGGCTACGTTTGTGTGTGTAAACTCTATTCTCTACATTTCCTCATGACCAGCATGGTTACAGGAAACCATGTTCATTTCCAGCCCACCGCTGTTTGCACAGGTCAGAGGTCACATTTGTCACATCTATTTGCACATTAAATGTCTATGCTGTGACCTTGGAGCTGCTTACACTTGACAATTTTTTATATTTTAGTAACACACAGCATGCATTACTGTAATGATTTAGGTCAACATAGACTGTCTGATATCTGCAAAAATGGTTACACTTAACTTCAGTCACTGCAGACCCATTAAAAACAGAAACTTTAAGTAAATATTTGCCAGTGTTTCCAGCATTTTGACCAGCAGTTTGCACAAACCCACTGCTCTTGAAACTTACTGTTATTATTATTACTTTTTTTTTTTTTTGCAGCCACACATTTATTTTTTAGGAAAACTGGGGTCAGTCAGGTGGTCTCCAATATTTTCCAGGCGCCGACAGCATCAGAAAGAAAAGGAAACTAGTGAAAGTCATTGTGTATACGGTGACTTACAGACCTAGTCATTGTGCCTGTGCTCCAACACGAAATATCCTCTCATGGGACTCTGTCAGTGATTTATAAACAGAAAGCTTGGTTGTGACATCTGAAAAATGCATACAAGGAGACAAGGAACTAGACGAACTGATAACTCTTAAACAAATATAAGTAATTTAAGACTAATGTTGCTATTCCAAAGCTTAAAAATAAGCTTGGGTGCCTTTTGTTACATATACTGTTATGGTCAAAAGCAGATCTACAGAGACTGAGGCGTTATTATCGACTAGCACAGCTTTACATTATTCACAGTCCTAAATCATTTATCTTGTCATCTTTAGCTCCTCCCTCTTTATACCAGCTTTCCTCTGATTAGCTGCCCCTCAAAAACAGAAGAGCTGAACAGCAGTTGACCATGTTAGGGTTGTCGGCTCTTCCTCTCATTATTCAGACCTAAGGAAAAACTGTCTGGAACAGAGGGTTTAGAGCTGTCTGAAGCCTAAGCTTTTGGCTCACAGGGATTATTTTGGACAACTAAACCCTGGTGTTTAATAAAAGGTATAAAAGAGTTGGTAAATGCACTTTTATTACATTCCACATGTGCTGGTTGCTCCAAATGGAAAGTATAAGGGGAAAAACAGGGGACAGTAATACAGTGATACTTCCAGAATGAATCACAGTACAAAAAGGGCATCAATATGTACAATATTATTTATGTACAAAAACAACCATGTTACACACAAGTATGATAAAAACCATACATCTCGGGCAAACTGCAGTATTACATGACAAAACAGGCATCAGTGTATAGTTTTAAAAATGTTCTCAGGAGGCTTGCAAGCGTTTGGTTCAGGAGGATGCACTTTCACTCTAAGCAGAGTGAAATGTTTCCCCTCTCACAAAAACTAACTATATCCAGTCTTTTGTTCACTCTCACACACACTTACACACAGCCACACACACAAAAAAAATGTTAAATAGGCATCTGTTCACTGATCCTTTCTGTCAGTGGAGGTTTGGACAACAGTCAGATGGCAACACCGAACAGGAAATGTATCGGGACTCAAATGGAGGAAGATCCTCTGTTTACTCTTGACAGTTTCACAGGCACTCAAAGGCAAGTCTGTAAGTCTTTAAGTTTTCAGTTTACTGTTGAGTCTTTCAGCTCAACTTTATGCCTGTGCTGCTTTTTCATGGCCGTTAAGAAGGTCCAAAGATGATGGCGAAGATGCTCTTTCGACCCCTCCGCTTAGCAGCCTTTGTTCCTCTGGTGTCTGAGCACAGCCATCTGTGTTTATAAAGGTCAGAGGGTCACCTTTAATTTTTATATCTGCAACATCGACACAGTGCAAGTAACTGGAGACGGGGTCCTGTGAGCAAAAGAGTGCTAAGGACGCAAAGTAAATTTAAAAAACAGCTCCTCAGGGCTTTAAAAGGTCAGCATGGGGTCAGACCTCCAGCTCTTGGTTATCTGCATAGTGGAGGCGGTTCAACTTCTCCCTCTCCTGGTTTGAAATGTCCAGTTTGGCAGCATGTGCTGGCTTTAGTGCTGGGGAAGGGTGTGAAGGGGCCGGGGAGGGTGGTAGGGTCAGTTCAATCTCCTCGTAGCAACGTGAGACGGGGGCAGGGGCTGGAGGGTTTGTGAGAGGGGCGGCAGCGGGCAGCTGGGG